TAAATAGTGCTGTCACTGTGGCACTAGGTAATATAATGCACAGCTGGGTAACCCTTCACAGTGGCTAAAAGATAAAAAAATATATATATAAGAAAAGCATATCCTTGGCATAATCCTCTATTGAGTTGTGGTCAAAGAAATGGAAATGAACAGTTAGAAATCTAGTATCGTACTCACCCACTTGGTATAAATTAAAATTAATTTGGTGGGAAGAAAAAAGATCATTGTGTTGTTGCTTAAAGTAGTACTGTGGGGAGTTCATCAGGGGAATCTAAAGAAGTGAGTCTATGGGGTCTTATGCAGGGGTTGGTCTCAGTGCTGAAAGAGACCTAGTATGAACCAGAGTTCTAGAGACAAACATCCTAGGATTGACCAGCCCCAAGGGCATGTAGTGACAGAAGAAGGTTCCCTCAGGTAGGTGGAAGGAGCAAGGCCAGATGAAGATCTGGTTATGTACTGCCTAGGCAGGGGTGGGCTGTGAGGGGACATGGGGTGGGTCTAGGCACAGAGACATCCACAACTATTGGGTCATCTGAAAAGTCATGATGCATTTTTACACACAAAAAAGCATCGTGACTTTTCTGGCGACCCAACAGATGATGACCATCTCTATACCTTAGCAACCACGGAGTCCTAGCCAGCACGTCACTTTGCAAAGATGAGGAAGCTGAAGCTCACTCATGGTAAGTGACTTCCCATAATGACCTCCCACAGTGGATGAGGGGCTGGAAAGTCCAGCTTCTGACTTCTTAGTTGCAATTCTTTTCTCTGTGTCCTGAGGTCCTGGCTACATGTACTTTCTTTCTGTTTCAGAAGAAGCATTTTTGAGCTGTAATTCAGTGTTGCATTTAAAATAAATTGTCAAAAACTAATAGTATTTAGTTGTTTGGTGTTGACTGGGATTTTGAGACAGATTAGGTTGATGATGTAATCTCAATTGGGATCTCAGACTTTCCAATCAAACATCATGAAGATGGAGTACAAAATAGCCAGCAAAAACACTGTCAGAGCAGCACACTGTTCTTCAGTAGGTTGACTCTCCTCTACATTGCCAAAGAGATGCTCTAAAGTTTTGAAGGGTGACCAGGACTAGGATCAGACTTCTTCAGGGTTGAATTACACCCTGATGGAGTTGGGTAACTAAATGCAGTGTATAACAGAGGTGCCACAATGCTGCATAGGCCTTGGACACAGCGGCTTGAAACTCACATTGGATGCATGTGCGTGCCTGCCCAAAATCCCAAGAGAAGAATGGATGAGAAGGGACTGTAGTGTTGCCATCTCCCCTGGGGAGTAGATTTCTCACTTTCTCTCTTTGTGTCTCTCTCTATGTCTCCAGTGAGCACACATGCCTGTAGCAAAAATCTCTCTCTAAAAGAAAAAAGAGAACACCATGGAGGATGAAGGCAGAGATCAGGATGATACGTCTACAAGCCAAAGTACACCAAAGACTGTTGGCAACTACCAGTAGTGAAGAAAGGTGTGCACTAGCTTCTCCCTCAAAGCTCTTGGAAGGACTCAACCTTCCTGACTCTGATTTCAGACTTCTAGTCTCCAGCACTGAGAAACTATTAATACAGTTATGTTATTTCCAGCCACCTAGTTTGTGGTACTTGTTATGACAACCTTAAGAAACTAAGAGTTAAGTGTTGCTTGCTTATATCTTTCCTCAAAAATGAGCACAATGTGGGAACCAGCAGTTAGCATAATGGCTATGTCGCTGGACTCCCACGTAGTTGACCACTGTTCGAGTCCTGGACCAGGTGGCTTAAAACTCATGCCGGGTGCGTGTGCGTGCGTGCCCAAGATCCCGAGAGGAGAATGGAGGAGAAGGGATTGCGGCGTGACCATCCCCCCTGGGGGGTGATTTCTCGCTTTCTGTCTCTCTGTCTGTCTGGTGAGTGCACACACCCTATAGTGAAAAAACCTCTCAAAAAAAAAAATGAGCACAATGTTTATTGAAAAAAATAAAAGCTCTCTTTCTTGCTTTCTGTCTCTCTGTCTCTCTCTGTCTGTTTGGCAAGCACATGCACCCTAGTGAAAAACCTCTCCAAAAAAAATAAAAATGAGCACAATGTTTATTGAAAAAAAATGAAAGCTCTCAGGGCTGCCAAGTCACTGAAGATGAAGATGATAAAGCTGATATAAGAGAGGAAAATACCTACAAAGTTAGGAAGGAGGAAATTTAAATGGGGGAAAGAATGTAAACTAAGCTTTAATTAGGAAGACACACTGCCAAAATAGCCCTTGTCATCAAAACACAGCTGTAGGGAATGGAACTTTGGGTTCTCCAGCCAAGAGAAGGCTGGATGAATAGTGTACAGGCTCACATCAAGAAGTCTAAGGAGGGAGACCAGCAGTTAGCGTAATGGCTATGTCGCTGGACTCCCATGTAGTCAACTGCGGTTCGCGTCCCGGACATGGCGGCTTAAAACACATGCCGGGTGCGTGTGCGTGCGTGCCCAAGATCCCGAGAGGAGCATGCAGGAGAAGGGATTGCGGCGTGGCCATCCCCCCGGGGGGTGATTTCTCGCTTTCTGTCTCTCTGTCTCTCTCTGTCTGTCTGGGGAGCGCACGCGCCTTTAGCAAACAAAACAAAACAAAACAAAAACGAAGTCTAAGGAAAACATACTGACAAGTCTTTACAGGGTAACAGTGGCAAAACAAAACAAAACAAAACAAAACAAAACAAAACAAAAACCCAAAAACCGAAGTCTAAGGAAAACAGACTGACAAGTCTTTACAGGGTAACAGTGGCCATTGTGTATGTTCCAGACTAAGTTGGCATTTGGTTAGGCAGTGGATAAAGTGATTGAAGAAGCCCTTTTGGTGGTTTGAAGTGCAGTGCAGTGGTCACCACCCTCCAAAACAGAACTAATTTTGTATAGGTAATAGGGATAAGATACGGGAATGACCAAGAGGGTAGAGCTTGATAAGTCATTGGCATAAACTTCTGTGTGAAATTCTGTGCTTAGAGAGTTTAGTGAGTGAATGACCTAGTGTGTATCACTCTTGCCTTGAAGGAACATCACAGATATTCTGAAGTCCTTTAAAATATATATCTGAAATGGGATATTAAGATTTTCCTAAAACCATTATGCCATGTTGAGGGAATTTTCCTTTTGCTTCAACCATTTTGGTTTTAAGTATACTGCCTGATCCAACACGGAGTTGTGAAACTCTGAATTTTTAATAAGTTCAAAAAAAATTAAGCATTGATACTTTCATCTGCCTGAGGGCATCAAAGTCCTATAACACTTAAGAAGCCTATGTGGTTCAGCACATATTGCTGATAACCTTTCAATGTTGAGCAGGTATGGGAACCTGGTAATTTTCTACACTTTTTAATCTGGTTTAAACAGCAGTTTTTAGGGTGCTGGAGCCCATAGAGGGGACAGGAATGCTCTAAGAATAATTAATAAGTACCTGACTCTCTTGGGTCAGAAGAGTTTCTTTGGGTGTTTTGTTTGTTTTTGAAAATTTTGCTTTGAAGTCAAAACTATTACTACTTGTAGGGGGCTGGACAGTGGTCCAGTGGTACCACAATGCTCTGCCAGGCTGACCCACATGTGAAAGTTTAGGGTTCACGTCTGGAGACCTCCTTGCACAGGCTGGGCAATTGCACACAAGCCTGGGCTGGCTGAAGCTAGGGGTGGGTCTCAGCATGAAGGTTCAGGACTCAATTCTGGAGACCTCCCTGAATAGGCTGGGCTACCGCATAAGATCCAGATTTGGCTGAAGTTAGGGATGGGTCTCAGCGTGACTACCCTGTTGAGGATGCCTCGCTCTCTTTGTTTAAAAACATCTCAAAGTAAAGAAGACTATTACTACCTTTAGCTCCCCAAACCAGCTCTCCAAACCAATGAAAGAATCAGTCTTATTGCTATCTTTAAAGATAAAACCAAGCAAATTCATATCTATAATTAAAGGCTCAATATGTTTATGTCAACAGTAGTCTCTTCCATTCAGTTTGCCTGGGAATAATGAAAGACAAAGTAACTATAATTTATTCTGATAAATATAGGATTTAGAAGAGAAACTTTTTTGTGTGTATGAAGTCTATTGTTTAAAAGTCTTTCCGAGATCTGCATGCAGTCTTCTTACCTTTGTAACTATAGTGAGCCTAAGCAACTTTTCCTTTGACTACTGAGAACTCTGGGCTTTACAGTGTTCTTTCTGCATTCACCGTTCAGTTCTGAGTTAAAAGGTACGGAAGCTGGAACCAAGTCTGTACAAAGTATGATACTCTACGAAGTTTTGTTGTTAATTGAAATAAAAAGGGGGGAATCTCAGGTAGTTTGTTTTAAAAAACAAATATAAACATTTCTTTTCTCTATGCCAGAAATGCAGAAGGAATAAAAGCAATTAGATTAATGAATCATTCTAGTTTCCTGAACTCCAATTGGTAGAGAGTTTAAAGTTGAAAACCAAACCAAACACAATCTTCGGTTACCTTATGTCATAAATCAGTTATTTCTGAAAAAGCAAACGACGCATATCTGCACATGTTCAAATTGCAAATTTAAAAATGACATTCCCAACAAGGGAGAAAGCCTATTTTAGATGGACTTCTTCTTTCTAAATAGATCCCATTCCTTCAGAACACTCTCAGAAATTCTGGTTTTTCCAAGCGCAGACCTCACCCAGAGACTCTGGGGCGCTCCTGTTCCAGGACTACAGGTCAGACGGCTCAGACACTGAGCCCAGCTGGGTGTGTCTGGGCCTGGCCGCGGCTGCTGTGCCGGGAGCCTGGGACCTTCCGGCAAGGGCGCCCTGCACAGTCGTTGCCACTGATCGCAACTTAAAATTCAGAGCGAGCACAGCCACGCGCCTCGGATCCACGGAGAAGTTGCAACGCGGAGCGGTGCACGCTTGACGCGCCCCGACCCCCGCCAGCCGGAAAGCGAAACCCGACAGGGGAGCAGAGGAGGGTGGCAGTGAGAGGAGGGAGCGAGCTGGGCCACATCGGTGACCACCACCCCGCGGCACAATCCACGTACCTGCCAGTCCTGCCCGCAGCGCCACGAGCAGCAGCAGCGGCAGGC